ATTTCTAGGAGGGTAAAAAGAAATGGGGACGGTCCGTTATGAAAATATTAGGTGGGTTGGTTTGGTGGTTGTTTGGTTTGTTTTTTTTTTTCCGGGGAGAGGCATCTTGCTCCCACGATGAAATAAAACTCAAAGGATTTACTGAGGGCATTAGCACAGCGCCCATCCCCGGCGCCTCCCGCCTGCCGTAACATCCCCGTTTTTTTTTTTTTTTGTTTGGTTTTTTTTTTGGTTTTTTTTTTGGTTTTTTTTTTTTTTTTTTTTGCTTTTCCGCAGGGAAAACACGGAAAACAACAACGCGGCCACCAACAAACCGAACCAACTCTCGCCTCTGGATGGGAGCAAACCCCTCATGTCCAGTTCCGAGGAAGAATTTTCTCCTCCCCAAAGCCCGGATCAGAACTCGGTCCTGCTCTTGCAGGGGAACCTCAGCCACGCCAGGAGCTCCGGCTACTCCCTGAGCGGCTTAGCCACATCCCAGACCCCTCACAGCCTCCAAGGTCACCAGCTCCAGGACTCGCTGCTGGGACCCCTCACGTCCAGCCTGGTGGATCTGGGATCCTAAAGGCCCGCGGCGGGCGGCCGGAGGATCGGGAGAGGAGGTTCTGCTCGGGGACAGAGGCTCTGGGTTGTACATAGAGGACAGTACCCGGTTTTACAGCTCACCCGCTGATTCTTGACGGGACTCTCGGTTCTTTTCACACAACCCCACATCGGCTCCTGGTCCAGTTCCCCCCCCCAGCGTCTCCCGCTACCACCACGATTTCTTTTTTTTTTTTAAATTTTTTTTTTCCACGTAGCCAAACGCAGAGAGCGGCAGAAACCCTCAGCCCTTCGAGTTCAAGCAAGCTGGTCCCAAAGGGAATTACAAAAAGGAGAAAAAAAAAAAAAAAGGAAAAAAATGGGAAAAAAAAAAATCCCAAACCAAAACAACCAACCCCAGCTGGATCCGATTCCACCCAAATAAATCCCAGCCCCGCTGGCCACGGTGGGGCAGGGGTGGCCGGCGCATCCCTGCTGCTCCCCGGCCGGGTCCCCGCGGGGCCGGCGAGGAGCCGGGACGGAGGCAGAGGGAGCGAACGGCTGTACCCAGCCCTGGGTTGTAGCGGGAGGAGGGAGGGGAAGTTACGTTTACATTTTTCATATTTAGCCTTACCAGAAAGGTTTCGATGTAGTTTAAATTTAAAAAAAAAAAAAAAGGGGAAAAAAAAAAGGCAAAAGCTGCAGTATTAGAGTTTTAACAAGTGCCTATGTCTTAACGCGGCTGTGCGAGGCAGTCAGCGAGCGAGCTCCCGTGGGCCCGTGCCCCCCCCCGGCTTCCTTCTCCTCGGTGGTGAAACGCATCGATGTGGCTAAAAAAAAAATAAAAATAGGAGAATATGAAGAATACTAATAAAAGTCGACGGCCGTATCCTCCTGAACGAGTATTCCTCGGGCTGCCCCGCCAGCTCCCCGTTGCCTTCTCCCGCCCGTCCCCGCTCACCGCCTTCCTCCTCCGGCTTGCAGAGAGCCCGCGGACGACGCTGTCTGCCTCGAGTATTTGTTACCAAAAATCGCATGTGCTTTCAGGTTTCTTTTCTATTGTACCTAAACAGTCTAAATTAAACAACGCTGATGGCAGAACACCCAGCCTGAGCTTTTCTTTGGGGGGGGGCGCCCCCCGCCCCCCCCCCCGCCCACCCTTACCCCCCCGGGCTGCATCGGAGGAGCTTCGGGGCTGCGGGGGGAGCCGGTGCCTTCGTAACCGAGGAAGGAAGGAAG